TCTTACCGATTCAAGTACCGATAAGATTTCATCAGCTATACCAATAAGCACTTGAACGCGTGAGTGTTTTAACGTCATAAAATACCATGTGTCCCTTTAAGTCCTTTAATAAGTATCGGTAAGCTAGATGATAAACTCGAAGCCTCAATTTTGGGCAGAAAAGGATAAACAAGCTAAGGTTGTGCATAAAATTACTCTCCGTTCTCCAAACCAACTCCGAACTGCTGATCCATGAGCCGTTTGATGCGGTCCTCGAGGGCTGCGTTTTTAGCATGAAGATCGACAATGATGGAATTAAGGAAGTTGACCTCGTACTCATCGTTGGCGACCGATGCGTCCATAGCATTAGCCACGTCAGATTCCTGTTCGAGTACTGGGGTTTTGACATCTAAGAATAGCAAGAATGAAAAATACATGAAAAACAAGACAGGCGAAATAGCATATGATAGCGCAAGCTGGCTAAATCCAACAGAAAATTTATATTGTTAAGGGGACTTTCATTTCGTATTAAAAGTGAATGAAGAAGAGATTCGTTGGTCGATCTCACCAGATGAGGACGGATAAATCGCGTTGTACTGCAAACGTTTGGCTTTTATACGATATTGATTTAGACGCAGTCCACGAGACTTCCTCCCTCGCTTCGAGTGAAAACGTGCTGAGCTTTCGTCCATCATATGATGGACATCATCAGAGCCGGGCGTCATTCTTGTAAAAGTCTCACGTTAACACTAGAGCGAGAACACTATCCGGCTCTATCTAACTTCTTATATAGACTCAATCGAGCGAAAAAATTAAAAATTAAAGACCTAGATCTATCGATATAGAGTGGTTTGGTTAATTATCTTTCATACTGGTCCTGTTACTTTTGCTCGAGTGTATGCGTATGTGTATGTGTGCGTGTTAGCGTCTATATGCAATACGGTTCCTAAATCAGAGTTGTCAAAGATTTAATCTCAGGTTCTGATTCTCAAGACCTAATGACTCAAGAGAAAGCCTTGACCGGGACTGCGTAGGTCCGTAAGCAAGTATGGTTGAGACAAGGAAATATGAGCTTGTAAGCATGTAAGTCAAGTTACGAAAAACCATCCCCAGGGAAGGGTAAGAGTGGGGTTACATAATCTGGCATGTCTGGTTTGGTTGATGAGCTTACTCTATCATGTTGGACGAATGTGAGCGAAAGTAGAACCATCACCGAGAAGACAAATTGTTCGCCCAATCTTTGTCGAATAGGTCGGCATGTCTCACCAACATAACATCGACCAAATGAGCAAACAATCTCAATAATTGGTCATATTTCTCTCTAAAGATGGCATACCACAAGGATGTGTGAGGGTTTCTTTGAACACTGTTGTTATCCCCACTTTCTTACTAATTGCCATATCTCTTTTGAGAGAAGACATGACGGCAAAATAAGGACATGGGAAAATGTCTCAGTTTGTCTATCTTTGACTAAATGGTTTCCGTCTGAAAATTTAATTGTAAGTAAATAGATATAATTCTAACTAAGGCCCAAAGGATAATTTAACTTTTAAGCCAAATGTTTGCTATCCGCTAGCCTCATACTACTAAGAATCATTGACTTCAAAATTCCAAACTTAGTCTTGTAACTATGGTTTGGAAGAAAATTAAGCAAGGAGCCAACATTTTAGAGTAAGCTCATCAACCAAACCAGACAGGTCAGATTAACAACCCCAGTCTTGCCTTTCCTTGGAGGGTTAAACGTTAATAACCCTAGACTGAAAGGTTAGGACCAATTTTTTCGTGACTTGCTTTTCATGCTTACAAGCTCATATCTCATTATCTCAACCATACTTGTTTACGG